TTATTGGCACCCCCCCCCCTATAGTTGCCCCTCTTTTCCTTGCTGTTTCTTGCCTGTGACAACCTGAAGATCGCTGATATTTGACTAGCGTATGCACCTATAATTGGCCCCTTTTTGTTGCTGTTCCTTTCCTCTGAAGATGAGCTCCTGTAAGAGTTTGTAGGTTCGGAACAATAAACCAATTGCTCGACAAACCTCCATCCTTACCTAGCAGAAGTGTGTTTGCACACATGCAGTGGAGTCCATTCTATAGTTCTTAGCAAATAGACAATGGCTTATAGACGGACAGGTTGGGGGAAGGGGGCGGCGGAGCGGGGGAAAGGAACACGTACCCAGGAGACTAGTGCTTTGATCACGCGCTGGGGGTCCAAAGACTTCCCACCGTAATTTGAGGTCAAATGGAGGATTGGTTTGGCCAGCAGAATGTAGATGCGCCCGTACAGGTCCTGCTCCATGATCAGTTTCCGACCCAAACCGCCATCGGTCAGGCATAGTTCCCAAGTGGCTGGTGCCTCTGACCCCAGCGGGTTCGGGCCATTAGGAATGGAGACGGGGGCATGTGGGCTGAGCACTTCAGTGATGGGTAAATCCAACCGGATAGGACTACGAACAGTGATGAGGGCAAGAAGGCCAAACAGACCACTGGAGAGGTCAGAGGAGGCGATGGAGAAGTTGAGAGTGCGCTCAAGGACCGGAAGGAGAACAGAAATCTGCGAGATAATCGCCTGTCTTAGGGGTCCTGACGCTTGCAGAAGCACGGCACAGCACACTGTGGGGCGGGGGAGGAAATAAAGACCCCATCAATTAACGTCATTACGGCGGTTATTAATCCAACTAGCTTTCCTCATAAATAAAAAAAGATCGGATGATCCGTGCAAAACAAACTACACGGAACGAAGGCCTATTTCGCGAAAAGTGGCCGCCCCCACTATAGACATCCCGTTTGCATCCAGGTTGTCTGTGGCGTTTGTATTAGGGTGGAACTACTGACTAACAGAACACGGTGTATAGAAAGGCGACTAACACAACCCAGGTGCTCAGCCGCCATAGCAACCACCCAATGCCGCATAAACGCGGCTGTGTTAGAGCACTCTTTCAGAGGGTAAAAACACACTGCAGTGAACCTGGGGGACAAGTGCGAGAACTACGGCATCTTCGGGACCACCTGGTAAGGAATATATACACGAACAGCTTCGTTAGCCGCTGCCTTTGTACGCGCCCACGGGGAACAAACGGAGGAGAGCCACCAAAACTCTGGCACCCCTTCCCATATGTAAAAGCTGTAATATGCAACTGAACATATCGTGTCAGAGTTCGGCGTGGGTATTGCTCATCATTCCACAGTAACCACGCGTTCCCGGTTCATGCAAATAAAAGACCGACTGGAAGTAGGTGAGCAGTTTGTCGTCGTTTATCAAGTGCCATGTCGCGACTCTTCTTGCCACTAGCTTA